CATAAAGTTATAGAACTTTATTTTATTAAGAAAATAATTCTGTTTTGCGTACACTTTAAATATCTCAAAAAAGTTGGGACACTTTTTTTGAACTGTATATGTAAATTTATAGATGATAATCTCTTATTGTCCAAAAAATTATATCGTTTTATATAGATATTATATAGTACTTATAAAACTTTTTTTATAATATAACTGTAAATGATAGTATCAACGCTACAAAGCGGATCTCTTATAACAAATAGTAGTTTCAAAGCATAGAAAAGTTTTACTCTATTTTTAAAAATCAAAAAATGGAAAACTAATAACATATTTATGCTTTTCTAAATTCTTATATTTTTACATATATGTATTTCTATAGTTATTCGCGAGATGTATGATATAAATTATTCAAGCTTAGAGGAAACCGTAAAAAAATATATATTATTAATATTTTTCCCAATTTTTAAAATAATTTTTATCAAAAAGAAAGAAAAAAAAACAATGCTTCAAAAATTTTATTTAACATTTTCGACTTGTTCACAGGAATTCATTCTCTTATTAATTGTATCATCAATGATGAATAATTCTGTATAGTTATTCTGATAAAATATACATACACAATGTGTATATTTTATTTCAAATTGTTTAAAAATTAAAAGTTTTAACATCTCATACTTCATTTGGTATGCATGAAAAAATTTATGCCATTTATAGCTATTTCTAATGAAAGAATAATACTTTATCCTTTGTCGAAGACAAATACTATCGTATAATACAATCGCAGTGTAATTTAAACAAAACGGATCAAAGTTGATTAAGATTCTTTCTAGCAAATACATAATTTTCCGGTTAGTAATAAATAATACGCTATCTGTATTTGCTTAAATTTTCAAATATCTGATTCATTTCTATTCTGATTTATTCATTTCATTCCAAAATGTGTGTTTTCTCTTTTCGCCATCCGTCCAATCCCACATAAGAAAATATTTTTTTATTTTTACTATTTGATTCGTATTTATTTAAGAAACATGGAAGAATGTTTTTTTTCCTATAAAAAACATTTTTCATATACAACCGCGCGTTCTTTGCAAGACTTCAGATTTTCTGATAATGTGTTTACATACTGTAGTTATATACTCCAAGAATCTAGATATAAATCCCTCTAATAAAGATACTAGATGAGGACGAATCACGACAAATATATAATTTATCTGAAAATTTATAATCGCATGGTACATTCTTGTTAAATTTTTAAGATAAACTGAACTTATTTAAAAAACCTTGCAAATGGTTCCAAAAGTTCTCTTTTCGGCTACAAGAACCATCCATCGTCGAAAATCAACTTAACGACAATGGAATGGCGTTGTAATAGTCGCATGAAACTAACTTTGTACAAACACGACTATTTTCTCAGTGAATATTTTTCTCGCCTTTACTTTCACGTCAATGCATCGAACATTTTCTCGTAAGTGGAGGAAAAAAGCACTCTGATGAGATTCAGCCGCGATTTTATAAGAGCTTTCATTTCTAGCGAGAGCGATGACGAGAGAGCGACTCTAACAACGCGATATATTTCATGCAAGGCAACAAATGCTCGAAACAAGCCATAACAATATTTTTAAAACGTCGTCGACAATTACAAAAAAACATTTCTTCATTAAAGAAGTGACTTCTGAGAAAAGAAAATGGGAGGGAAATGAGAGATTTAATGTGATAAATTTTACTCTAAATTTATTTTAAATTTTACTCACATGCTAAATTTTACTTTAAAATAAAATAATTAACTTTTTGCAATATTATAAAACCTTACACACAACACACACATACACAAGAAATGGAAATGTATCCTATTTCTTAAATAATATTGTAAATATAATAATTGTACTAATTAAATCCTACAAATATATAATATCCGAATAGTAAGTATATATGTTCGTTGTACGATAAAAAAGTAGGAAAGTATCGAGCTGTCGCAAAAATAACATTCTAATTACTCACGAAAAGTTTACCTTAATAACAATACGAATGCTACCACCCAAGTCTAATAAACCTCGAAAGTTTCTGAACGTTCTTCAGGTTCGCCTGAACTTTCTTTCGTGACGCGGTAGCGGCGGTTTCATAAAATCTGACGCAGAAAAATAGAACGATGTACAGCGCCCAACGCAAACGAGATAAATTTCTTCTAGCGCGAAACGAGCTTAAGCAAGCTGCTGTAAATTTTATCCCCGCCACTCTGTACAAAATAACGAATTCTCGCGCACACGCAGATGTCACCGGTGCCCCAAAAATTACCATTCTTTAATTAAAATTCGCAGAAGTTTTATTTTGGACTTATGTCTTAAAATATTTCGATGCCTGTAATATCGATGTAATTATCTCTTTTATTTTTACCGATTCTTTTTAATTATATCTTTAGTACTATTTTTTACTTATAATCATTTTTATTTAAAAATATTCTATATATGATATATGTATCCTTAATCTGTTTTCAGAGTAGAATTCAAATTAAATAGAAATTTTGTCAGATGTTAAGTTATCAGTATTTTTTGCATTATTAGAAAAAAGTGAAAAATTTCGAACAATTAAATTTCAAAGCAAACCTAATTCCTCAGTTAATTTGAACCTTTTACCTAAAATTTTGATTTAAAACTTGAAATTAAATGCAAAAACATATTAAGACTTAAAATATTATAAAAATTATTATTCTCATTTTTTTTTAATTGGGGAAATAGTAGCCTTTAAATTGATCGAAGGAAGAAATACTAATATATATATATATATATATGCAGCATATATGGTATATTTATCGTATTAATTGCAAAAATATAATTTGACCAAAAATACTGCGGTTTAATAGTAACTGTGAATTTCGCCTAATAGATAGTCTTTAGAGAGAAAACGAATAGACTGTCAAATACAGCGCACGTAAAATGTGTTACAACCTACGTTCTATCATGCCTGCACTTTTGCCCCTACGCTATTAAATGTTACGGTAATATATTTTGAATGTGTTCCGAGTATATCTCTCCTTTTTTTATATCCATGCAGAAATAAAATACATAACTCGCATATACGTGTCGAAAGCGAATTATTCCCACGCAAGCTTACCGCTTTTCCATACATATCGGAGATGCAACAACAGAAACCGTAAACCGTTAAATTGCGATCCATTTTAAAATAACATTTCATTGTATATGTTTTTTACATTTGCAATAGTAATTACATATAACAAAGAGGGATAAATATTTTGAAATTTATAAAAAAATATATACACGTGTAGCTGTACTAAGTATACAAATAATTGTCTGCATAAATTTATCGAATAGATTAACAATATAGAATCGCATATAAAATTGCATCTATATGATAAACTTATTAATCTTCTAATACATATATTTAAGACAAAATTGTTAAACAAATACAATCTAAAAATTCTCTAATCTTTCCTGATTATTTTAATTAACAAAGTTTGTTTTCTTTCGCTCTGATTCAAGATTAATTAAAATTAGCTATTATCATACTGTTTTTCAAAAACAGTGGAAGATAAATAATTATTAAGCAGATTGTTGTAAAAAAGATTTTATCAACCATATCTTAATAAATGCAATTCGCAAAGATACCAAAATATAGATAAATATATTGTTAAATAAATAATTTTCTTCATCTCATTTCTATCAATTATCACGAAATAATTGGAACGCATTTTAGATTTTTTTCTGATATTTTCCGACTTTTCACAATTTCCCCAATTATTTCATAAGAGATCGTATTTAGATAGTTGTCTCGGCTATAAAATTTATATACGACTAAACATCTTCAATAAAAAATTTCGCGAAACTAGTGGTAGATATTATTCACTGCGCTACGCTATACGCGTATCGAACATAGCTACCTAGTCGAATCAATGTATAATCTCCGTGGTTCATTCGACCAAATTGATCTAAGAAACTGTTCTCGATAACGAAATCGGGAGTCAAACTTCACCTCACTGCGACTCGAGCGCATCCATTGTCGATCATTAGACGCAGCTAATAAAGTATTCCTTGCCATGTGCTAAGTTTCCAAAGAGCCAATTGCAACTCCTCACGAATAATAGCGTTGCTGTGCAGTGACGATCTCTTCACTGCTACGAAGTGTATAACTTTCTATAGTAATACGTATTACGCCATTTGAGAGAACAACGCTCGAGAAGTTATATATACAATCGTAAATTAACAATAACAAGAAAAAAATAGAACTATTGTAAATAATTTTAAGCCTCAATATAAATTTGATTTAGAAAATACTTCATTAGTCACGAATTTAAAATATTTCACATTAAAGTTGTAAAAAAAAAAGATAATCTTAACATGCTATACTATGTACATCTGATACAATTTTTATTATATTCGTTAAAAAATATATTCTGCTAAAATTTTCAAAAGAATCGTAAAAAAGTTGTGAAGAGATTAAACACCCTACAATTAATTCAATATTTGATCACGAAAATTTTATTAACTACAATTTTTCCAATAAATGTTTTTTGAGAATTAAAAGCTCTGTCAATATATTTAATTTTTAATAAAATAAAACTTTTCCAACACGTTGTAGGCCATAGCCGTAATATGATATCCATATGATATAATATGGTAACCGTAATAAAATATTGAAATAGCCTCTACAATTTTAATTCTCAAAATTGTGATGCAATTTTGCAAGATGGAATATTCAGATCATATTTAGCATTAATAAAAATTGCGAGCAACGATTATTTCTTGAGTTTAAAAGAAAATTATCCTTTGTTAAATTTTGTTGTAAATTATAGCTTTATACAGACCTCTCTTGAAATGTAAGAGAAATATTTTCTCGGGAGAAAATCAAGCTTAAAAAGTTACAAACTAAATATATCCCTTTTTCCACTCTCTCTTATAGGGCTTTCCCTTTTATACTTCCGGAGCATATTATCGCTCCGAGAATTCATCGAATAATTTACATCGATCTTTCGCTCGATCGTGCCTCGAACGTCCGATATAGACGAGGATGAACATTGCGAGATGAAGCCATCGAATGTGACTCCTCGAGAACTCTATCGCCCATCGTTGAACGGAAGTTTAAAGGTGAAACACGCCGGCGCGTTCTGCCAGCGACAGCTTGCAGCTGCAGCCTGCGAAACCGCGCCGCTTTATGGATTAACGAGCGTCCGCACTTTCGCGAAGTTTCACGTAACACGGTCGCAAAGTGCCGGCGAATTCGCGATGCCGGAAGTTTCTAGTGCGAATGTGGGCACTCGCAAGACGAATTTCTGATTAATTGCCACCGTAACGAATAATGAATACGCTTGTGCAACGCTATATATATTCAGCGACACTTGAGACTTACCTATCGATCGAATATCTCTTATTTTCGGAACGCAAAGTTTGTTTCTCTGTCTATCAAATTCGCGAATGGAATTCGGGAAATGAGTATATACGTTAAATTGAACAACGCGTTGAGTTATCTCATCCATCACTCATTTGATTAACTCATTACAATGTGAAACTACAACTACAAATAAAGAGGATATTCGTGTGGGATAATCAACAGGTGAAACAATGTTGAAATCTTAAAACTTGTATTTAAGTTAACTTTGTGAAATGTTCTAATTTCTATCCATATTAGAGACAAAAGAAGGAGAAACAATTGCATGCAATTTCTGCATCTCTTTAAACCATCTATCTTTATTGAGATCATTTTAAATATAAGTCATAATATTCTTATTTTATTTATATAATGTCAAATGTATTAGAGAATTTTTAGGCATAGATTTAATGCCGTGTGTCCAGATACCTCTCTTTATCTAACGCTTAATTAAAAAGCGTAAAAGAGGGAAGCCGATCAAAACGTGCATTGGTCGACTGCAATTAAGGCAGCCGTGAATGCACTTTTATTTCGATAACAGCGTATACGAATTCGTACTGCTTTGCACAATACGAATTAGGCTTGAAGCCAGCTAGCTCATTTTAACGGGAAATGGGGACCATTTCTACTCATTCTCTTTTTGTTCTTTAGACTTCTCTTTAGTGGTAGATATTCTCTGTTTTCCGTAGAGCGCAAAGCATTTCTCTTCCAAAGCGATCTGTCAATCTTTTGTTCCTTAACAAACAATGAGAAAAAAGGAAGAGATGCTGTTTTAAGTCAGAGACAATCATTATAGTAACCATCAATTTTGGAGAATAATTAAGAAATGTTTAATACTATTTCTATGATATTTAATTTATATTTTTATCGTATAAAGAATGTGTCTTTTCCTTAACAGAAAATGCACTTAACGAGGAACGCTCTATATTTTTATTAATCTGATATCACTGAGATTTCTTCAAATATATTATGTATAAATCGTGTGAAAAAAAAGTAAGATAATTTCTAAATTTCGGTGATTTTTGTCTCTAATGGTTTTTATCAGTTACATTATACAAGTGTAACGAGATAACAGAATAAGAGAAAATCTCAGCAATATTTCGCAGAAATCCTCCTATCTACATTTCTTTCGTAAAAATTTTCATTTCCCAAGTGTGCTATTCCAATAGTATTTCCAACTGCGATACGTATTAAACTCGAGAACCCCGACAAGCGAATTCATTAACCGGACGCGTTTTCTAAAAATCTCCGTGATAAATCTGCCCGTACGATTTTCCCTAAAAAAAAAAAAAAAAAAAAAAAAAATTTCCTCTCTTGAAAAAGTATAATATTCTTATTTTATTTATATAATGTCAAATGTATTAGAGAATTTTTAGGCATAGATTTAATGCCGTGTGTCCAGATACCTCTCTTTATCTAACGCTTAATTAAAAAGCGTAAAAGAGGGAAGCCGATCAAAACGTGCATTGGTCGACTGCAATTAAGGCAGCCGTGAATGCACTTTTATTTCGATAACAGCGTATACGAATTCGTACTGCTTTGCACAATACGAATTAGGCTTGAAGCCAGCTAGCTCATTTTAACGGGAAATGGGGACCATTTCTACTCATTCTCTTTTTGTTCTTTAGACTTCTCTTTAGTGGTAGATATTCTCTGTTTTCCGTAGAGCGCAAAGCATTTCTCTTCCAAAGCGATCTGTCAATCTTTTGTTCCTTAACAAACAATGAGAAAAAAGGAAGAGATGCTGTTTTAAGTCAGAGACAATCATTATAGTAACCATCAATTTTGGAGAATAATTAAGAAATGTTTAATACTATTTCTATGATATTTAATTTATATTTTTATCGTATAAAGAATGTGTCTTTTCCTTAACAGAAAATGCACTTAACGAGGAACGCTCTATATTTTTATTAATCTGATATCACTGAGATTTCTTCAAATATATTATGTATAAATCGTGTGAAAAAAAGTAAGATAATTTCTAAATTTCGGTGATTTTTGTCTCTAATGGTTTTTATCAGTTACATTATACAAGTGTAACGAGATAACAGAATAAGAGAAAATCTCAGCAATATTTCGCAGAAATCCTCCTATCTACATTTCTTTCGTAAAAATTTTCATTTCCCAAGTGTGCTATTCCAATAGTATTTCCAACTGCGATACGTATTAAACTCGAGAACCCCGACAAGCGAATTCATTAACCGGACGCGTTTTCTAAAAATCTCCGTGATAAATCTGCCCGTACGATTTTCCCTAAAAAAAAAAAAAAAAAAAAGAAGAGATTTCGCTCTTGAGAACATGTAGAAAGACGAGACGCGGACCGCTCGAGTGAATTTCGACCATAAATCGTTCGCTCTCTCGATGCCCTTTACTATGGTCTCTTTCCTCTTTCTCTCTCTTTCTCGATAATAAATCCAAAACTTCGAGTTTCATTTTTATTTCTTCCTTCTCCCTCAGATTACGATCGATGCGTCGCCAGATTTGAGGACAACGCCGTGACAAGGGAGAGAGAAGCCCGACGAGGGGAGGGGCTTGAAAGGGGGCTTCGATCGGCTCGGATATCGATGGAGCCGTCCTGATGCAAACCGCGAAACTACGCGGGGATTACCCGGCCCGTTCGTCGGACTAATTTCCACGGCAGACCCCGGCGATTTCGCGGAGCAGCGTTGCTACGCCGCTCTCTCATCTCCCTCAACGGCGCGACAGACCCAGCCACTTCCACTTCCTCCACCCCACGTGGCCGCACCATCACCTGATAAGGTAAGCTGCTCTCTTTTTATCGTAGCTATCGCGTTACTATCATACACTACTGCTGAGGGATTTCAGGGATACACGTTAAAGATGATAGATCGTTTCGAGATGATAATTACTACTCGATTCTCGCGTCTCATTTCGGGATGTATATTGTTGATAAGAATCTTTGATATTATCCTAAATTGAATGTTACGTAATATGTTGTCTTTTTATCCGGTTTTAATAAGTGTAAACTGCATACGATATGCTCGGAAATGATCTTATTATAGCTTGATTAACATAATCTTGTATATATTATAAATTCTGTCAACTTAATAGCAGACGAGATCGATAAACGGAGTAAAAATCTTCTTTAAAAACATTACATTTTTGTATATCAATTCACTCTATCAATTCACGTATATTTAAGATACAGGAATATTAATCAAGATCAATTTCTGACATAGATGAAATCAAAATCGAGAAAAAAAGAAAAAGAAATTGCCGGCAAAATAGATCGACCCAACAACTGATAAAAGAATATGTATTATAAATTGTTTTTTATTTATCTTATTTCTCCACAATATTATAATACACATAACGGAGAGAGATTGATTTGATTAAATTCAAAGCTTCGCAAACAAGGTTCTATCACTATACATTATGATAATGCAATAGCCATTTATGTTCCTGATCCGATATGTTGATTAATCTCTTCATCGGATTATCGTACACACTACTATCTGATAAGGTTCGCCAATTGACCGCGTACGCCGGAGCACGCCACGGTCTGACTACTCTGTCCACACTTGGCGTATGTTTGCGCGAGGTCTTAAGATCCTTGGCGGACCCCGGTTTGCACGAAGACGTTGATGGACGAGCGTGTACACGCAGATCGGTCCATCTCACGCTATACACTATACATCATGCGATAATCGACTTGCATAAGAGCAATGTGCGTAGGAACACCGCTCGGTATCGCGGTATCAGCAATTACTCCGTTTAAGATGTATGCTCGCCTCAAACATCGTTCGAGAAATTGCATTTCACGAGACGGAAATGACGCGCTAGAACACCGTTCTACTTAGCTCCGACTCCGTACAAGATTTAATTACGAAGGTATAGCAGACATATCGCTAAAAAAAATTCATATTTAATAATCTAGCTTCCGTCTAAAAAAGATGATGGAATAATAATAACGCTTGGCGTCACAAATTGAAAAGATTTTCTGCAAATATTCTATAGTAAAATATATCTTATTTTCACTAATTCTGTAACATTAATCGCTCGCGGATATTAAATCCCGTTCAAACTAACGGAGTGCAAAATTTTTCTATCTCTTGTTTTATCGATGCTCTTCATCCGCTTGTATTTCAACTTCCGTTGCAATCTCGCCCGAGGCTTGCATCGTACAACAAACAATAATTCGTTTCTGTTGTTTTTTTCCAAAGAATTCCGTCTATCTTTCACATATATGTTATTTCCTCGATTGACATTTCGAAAAGTAACGCGAGAATATATGCTTCTCGCACTACATCGTGCGAATACAAAAGTTATGTTATAGCCTGAAACAATTTTGTATTCAACAGGACACGTATAAACGATGATTATCCTTCGCAAAAAAAAAAAATAAAATAACTACCAGTACAACGGCATAAAAATATGCGTTTCTGCATATTATTCCATTGCTGGAGGCAAGTACGTACGAGGCTCGCAATATTCGAGATTCCTCGAATTATTTTGTGGCACTCCATGAATGTCACTGCGAATGAATGCCCTCGCATAATTCTGTGCCGTCTCATAAGCATGCATTATGTCAGTACTCAATTCTAACGAGACGCAGAATTCTTAATCGTTTTTTGAGATAACTGGGTCAGATTTAAAATTGTTGGCATACATGTTTCAAGCTTTTCTTTGCATTAATGATAAAAAAAAAAAAAAAAAATTTCTTTTTATTGAAATATTTCATTTGTTTAAGAAGATATTTTGTTTTTCTTTTAAAAAAATAATTTATATATAACGTGGACCAATTTGGGATTTCAATTTCTAAACCTGATTTCGCAGACGTATATTTTCTTTCTTTTATTATTTATATTTTATATCTTGCAGTTGTTAAATCGTTTCACGTGTACCGGGTGCCAAAATTTAAAATATCATCAACTGTGTTTTTATTTTGGAACATCAACGATAGAGAGCCCGATACTCGCAGTGCAGAATTATTCATCGGAGACCTAAAAGGGTGCTTTTATTCGTCGGTCGCGTCGAATTTTGTGCATCGCTCACGTCGCGTCGGCGAAAAACCATCATCAAGCTGACCTTTTTGTGCGGCAAATGTTAAACGATAGGCAAAAAGTTGCCGTGTTTCTTTCACAAATTGGCACGCTCGAAATTTCACTCGTTAATTATATATAGCTTACAGATACACGGTGTCACGAGATTACGTAAAATATCTTCATTAAAATATATATTTTAATTTTTAATAATCTGTAAACTTCATCCCTCGTTTTTATATATTTAAATCGTAATTCGGACAATTTAATACATATTGCATTAATATTGTATTTAAATGTAATTGAATATGAAAATTATCGCAGTTCATTAGGCGAGACCTAATTGCAGGGCGTGTTTTATATATAAATTCTGATGCAAGCATGCTGAAAATAATTACGCTGTGTGATATGAATAAAAGAGAAAAGAAATTAATACCGAATATTAAAATAATTTCTATCAAACTTTTATAAATATACCGTCCACATAAAATTTAAAAATAAATTTGCTCGGAAATGCTTCAAGATTTTAATATGTGGACAGATGAATACGCTATCAATTTTTCAACGACATTGATTGTCCAAAAATAATTGCATCAAGTGATCGATAAATAATCTCTCTCTCTCTCTTTCTCTCTGTTTTCGCTCAGTTATTTCGCAAACAAATGTCATGTATGTCAAGTTTTTGCTCAACGAGAGCTATGATGACTCGATATTGCATCTTTGACAAGAGATAATATAAATATCGTTAAATACCTCCATATAAAAGAATCTCTAATAATATCATTTTCGAAATATTTACTATAAATATCTCTATTCTTTATATTTATGCTATATTTTGATATTTTGACATTATTTCTTATATTCTCATTTTTTCTTGTATGATTTTGTTGATTCTTGAAAAATGTTAAAACTAAGCTATTCAATCCTCTATTTTTTCAACAATTAATACCATGCTTACCTTAATGCCATGCTTTGAAGCATCGCAATATTTTCTCGAAAGTTACATATTATATTTTAAAATATTCATATTTTAACATATATTATTTAACATATATAACTAATGTAACAAGATTAAAAATGATAAAAAATAACATTTTAATCTCAATAAAGCTTCATTGATTCTTCTCGTATCTTTTTCTCGATATTACATCGTGATCGTGTAAAAAGTGAAAAGAAAAGAGAGTAATAGAGATAAAATAAACATTTCAGAGCTGGAGAAGCGGCCGCAGCCGCAGCCGCCTCGGAGCTCTGAGGAGCTGGAGGATCTGCACAAGCTGTTGCACTTCCCCGAGGAGGTGGCGCTCAGGTTGACGGAAAGCGAGTACCAGCTGTTCTACCAGGTACCGCCGCACGAGTATCTAAGGCACGTGGCACAGGACCAGACCACGTTGCAGAAACCACCTGCCAGGCCACCCCCGTCGCCGAGTCGCAGCAGCCCCAGCACCATCAACAGCTCGACCCAAACCGAGGATGAATCTTCCTGGCCTGTCGCCACAGTGTATTCGACCGTGCAGACCCTCATCGATCGTTTTAATGAGGTACCATTAGCTTCTCCCTTTCCCTCACCCTCTCCTTTTACCCCCTTATTAATAGCCCTAACTGGTTGCATCTTGAATTGCTTTGAGAGAAACGACGACAAAAGAAAGAAAGGGAGAAAGTCTCGTAAATTCATCCCAAATAACAGAAATATTATTAACAATGTAAAATTAAAAAAAAAAAAAATAGTAGTGCACTATAAGGATGGTAATAAACGCGAATCACAATCGCGAAAGCTCCACGCTAAGTACCTCCGAGTCTTTAGTCCGCGGAAACTCTCATCAGCCGCTTTTAATGAGGTATCCACTTCTCCAGTGGCTTTCCGTACGTTTTCGCCCGACACTTTCACCTACTTACTCCACTCGTATACGTATACGACACACGGTATCACCTGACCTCGCTTACCCACCGTCCCATCTGCCATTTCCCACTCTAAATTCTCGTCCAAGGTTGAAAACGTCGGGTTCTCCATTCCTCTTCTTTCATATGTCGTTCTCTTTATCACCCCGTACTAAACAAAAGCCTCGGGGATAGAGAGAACCGCGATGGAAAATACTGAATGACATTCTTCGCGGAAAGCTGTAACGTTCCTCGCAAAAGCAATAATTTTTATTTCATTTTATAAAACTCGAATAAAATTCAATAAAAAAATGAAGCTGGTAAACTAACAAATTTTTCAATATTTCTATCATTGCTATTGTCATCGTTCGCGTCAATTTACATCTCGTATCATTGTAATATCACTGATAATGATAATTGAACGTTAATGCAAGTTTCCGCGAAGCTTCAAATTTCCATAATTGCAGCTATAACTGATTTTAACAGAACGATTCGCAAGTATCGTTTAACACGTCCCGTAAAAAGAAAAAAGATAAAGAGAGAGCGTGAATTATCCATTTATTAAATTACACGATTACATAAATGCGGGCTGTCAAAAACTTGCATCGCAGACGTGCATTATTCAGTTCAACGACATCGAGTTGTAATTATTACATCGAAAGTGACGATAATATAATAATATGATCACTGGCAGATGAGATAATCACACCTTTAATTACACGTTTGTTAATCAGGTAAGCTCATGGGTCACTCACGCGATCACCAGCGGTGCTACGATAGAGGAACGACAAGCTGTGCTGTCTTGTCTTCTACGCGTTGCGCTAACCTGTTGGAATACCGGAAACTTTAATTCAGCCATGGAGATAATCGCCGGTTTGAAGTAAGTATACGTAAAGTCTGCTATTAACGCGAATGTCGGCGTTAAATCCCGCTGGATTAAAAGATCAATCTTTGAACGGTCATCTCCTACTTCCCGCAATATTCACTTTATTACGACCCATAAGCCAGTCTTGTGTGCGCCTTCGGCTAAGTACGAAAGTCGTAATACAATTTCTTGTTCTCGCGCCACATTACGGAAGTCCATCCATCTTCATCCTTACGTAAGCATCTAAGGACAACTTGTCCGCAAGGACAAAGTTGCTGTCGGCACCGATAGATCATCACGAAAGACGACCGCAACACGCGTCCCGTCACCCTCGAGTTTTGATCGGATTAAAGACTTAGCCTCGCGTTGCCGCACGTGTATACGCGTAACTATAATTATGCGGTGTCACATTATAACCGGCTAATTTATTGAATTAACACGTATGGAATTACTGGCGAGAATATTTTTAAAAGAAATTATATTAAAAAATTTATATTCAGATATTATAAATATATTTAATTCATGTTCTTCCAACAAAATTTTAACGTAATATTTAACCAGCTAATCGTCCTCGACAATTTAACAAAATTTAAGAAAACCTGAAATTCTCATCTCGTTATTTAAAGATTTATGTGTAAAAGAATCCAAAAAAGTTCAAGTGGAATGAGATTCGCAATGCAATTTCTTTAGAAATATCTGCGCTTTAATAGAAAAAAATTCATTTGTGATTCGTTTAAAGATATAAAAAGTCATGTTTTTTTATTAAAATATGTGATTAAGTAATAAGTAAAACAGTAAGAGAGACGGCAAGTTTCTTGTTGTTATTATATAACCAAGTATAATGTTTCGAAATTTCATCGATAAAAACTTGACGCGATATCTCCAGAAATCGGATCAAACTGTACTTGATACGATTACAAGTGAATTTCTTTGCGGAATGAAGTTCGTACTCGTAACGCGAGCAGCGATCCACAAAATATTCAGATCTTTCTGGTAGCAAATCGAAGACTATTCAACAAGTATCGTGCTCTTGAAATGTATATCTACCGTATTATATCTCATTGGACAAGATCCAATCCTGACAGAGCTTTAAATCTCTGGAAAATAACGATACTTTAGAATCTTTGATATTTTTGCAGCCATGTATCTGGAATTTGTGACGAATGAGCGATCAAAGATGCTTTGTCCACTCAGGCTTTCAATCGATCGTAACAGTCGCTATTGGACTGCAGATCTCCCATGAAGTTACATCCATCTCGTAAAGTGATAATCATTAGAGTCAAGTGTCCTTCGAATAACTCGATTTACGCAGACTTGGCTTATGAACACTGAGACATACTTGTTTTAATTGTTCTCTTTAAACGCTATTTTCGTAAAATTCCAATATTTTGAGCATCGCGTGTCTCTTCCCGTCGATATCGGATATATTATTTCTCGCTTGGAAATTGAAATCAATAAATGTAGCTTGTTTCATTTGTCATATTTCATCGAAATCCGAAATTGCATCGATTTCAACTACCTATCTTCATATCCCTTTTATTGTTATTATCCAGATTTCACACACATTGCATTATTATTTAAATATTTTTTAATATATACGTTCTCGATTTTTATCGAAAGATTAACATCATTACACGACGTTTCATATGAATTATGTAACTTGATTGGCGAGCGATAATTACTACACAATTTGCTTATACATATATATCTGCTATATATTTCAACGGAGCTTAGATTTCAAGCGAGAAACCAGAGAATGTTCGCAGCTTGATTGAAATACTTATACCAGACTCCCTTTACTCCAGGTTGGCGCATAAATGTTATGCGATTTGCTCCCGGCTGTTCTCATACTTCGCTAAGCTATCTCGTACGTTTTACATACCTTATCGGAATAAGTGATAGTAAGTGCATCATTATTAAACCATAAAACAAAAAATATAGCATGTGCTAATCATAATAAAAGACTCATCGTATAGATGTACGAAAATGCTTTCTCAATTGTTAATTATTATTAATAATTATTTATTTATGTAATATCTTATTACAAGAAAGATATTAAAAAAACGATATACCATCCTATTCTTAGTTTCTAGTCCCTAGTAAAAAGCGCGAAATAAAAACTTACATCCACAGGTATTTACTAAATTGCTCCCTATTAATTTATATTATTGGCCACGAATTATTAAACTGTTATGAGAAAAATAATTTTAAATTAAAATTAAAAAATTAACTCAAAAAGTATGCGAAATGAAGAACTCTCTAAAAAAAAATAAACGATATAAATTGGAATATATGTTATAGCATAAAAAGCAAGATATAAATACGTCAATGATCCTTTTACACGATCGGTTTATAGATGATAATTGTATTTAATTGGATTGTAAAAATATTTATCAAGAATGTGTGTGTGTGTGTGTGTGTATAATTTACTTTGAAACAAACGACTGTTGAATCCACAGAAATTTAAAGTATTATTATATACAATACACATATCTCTTTTTATAGGATTTTTACGTTTTGTCGCGAAGTGACTTCTCGTCGTAATTCGCGTTTTATATATCGAGAGCATTCCGTAAAAATTTTCCCGAACACTGCGATATATACAGTTTACTCTGCGAATGTTTCTCGACTCGATGCTCTGCTCATGTCCCGAAACGATTGAACGATATAATCGCATTATTTCGCGAGGAAATTCTTTCGAAACTGCGACCTCTTTCAATCCGATGCCTCGTGAGGAGGATGGGATAATCTCCCGTTAAGAAGTAAATTCAAATAATGAATGTGTGTCATTAATTTCCTAGAGATCAACGAGTGCAAGCAACTCCGCGCATTCGACCGTAAAATCGTTCTCCTACCCGTTTAACAATTAATTCTCGCCCGGCGTGAGAGAAGTGCCGGAAAAAAAAAATACAAAGCGATATCGGCATGTTGAACTTTTAAAGTTTCAAAGAACAACTCGTGCGAAGTTTTTGAAAACGTATCGTTGTTTTAAAGGGCGCTCTTGACTGGGAAAATTTGATTAATCGTCGTATTTTATGCTAGCCTATTTAAACGTCAAAGCGTGATTTTTATTAAAGTTTTGCTCGCGAATTCGTTTGCGAATGAAACTTTCCGAGAGAGATTGCATTTTGCGTTTTTATTATTTACAACTTCATTATCTCATGACCACAATATATGTGTGTGAAGATATAAAAAGACACGCTATCAAAAATACATGTGTCTATCTACTTAGAAAATAATCGATTTAATATTGTTATCCGTGCTTACTTAAAAAAAAAAATATATATATATATATTCAAAGAGATTTTCGTTTTTCGAGGAACGAGCTCTTTGTATCTAAACATCTAAAGTAGAATACTTTATTAAAGAGTTTCTTGCCAATTCCAAACCTACACAGAAAGTATGCTTGGAAATTCTGATCCCGGCATTCCACGTGCAAATATAAATGAAGGAAACGTCTCTGTGTTGTGAATATCTGAGAAATTTATTTTCACAGAGAGAGAAGAAAATAGGAAGTAAAAAAGAAAGGAGGATCGAACTTCATTTCCACTTGAATAATTCAAGAGAGATTGACTTCCTCAAGCCGTTGATAAATTTTTAACCGATCTTTGTCCCTGGTAATATACAATTGTAATAAAATGTATTACATATCGATATCGGCAGTTACTGACCCTAACCGAAATACCGTAATAACTATCGTCGATTCAATAAACGGAAGCTGCGGAGGAAATTACATCGATGAGCGTAACATCACTGATAATAGAAATTTCTAAGGGGTGAGAGAGGGAGTGTTTTATCCGCGCCGGTTTACGTCCGCCATTCGGTCATCGCTTGCGTCCTTTTCACGGATAACGATGCTCTCTCGTCGTTATCATTAAATGTCGCCGCGCCTTTTATACGCTCTCTACGAAACGAACGAATTTTACTTTAAGTGGCATAGCGGAAAACCTTTACGTTTGTTACTATCGGGAAAAAGCGGCGCGGAAATAACGTACTTTTTATTACTCGGAACCACTGTAAAGCTACGTACCCTGTGCTCGTCCTACAAATGAGAAGATAAAAGTTTCGTGCGGGAGTATCGTTTTAGAACGATCGTTGCACACTCGGCTAACTGTCGTACGCTACTGGGAAACATTTTCAACCGGCATTCGGAGCTAACTAGCCCGCACGCTATGGAGAACGCCTAAAGAGAGAGGATAATTAACGCCGTAGTAATAAAAGTTCCCCGATTTTCAACGACCGCTGGTACGCGAAACGGAGGAAACTGTTTGCATTGAGCGTGACATGTTGTTTCATCCGGGATACTGGGGCAACCATCGAGCCGGCTTAATTTTGAATCGTGTCCGTAAATGTAAATTGTCGTTACTATATTTCGCTGCGAACTTACAATGTGCTAAACTCTAGTTGACGATTGAACATTTTCTCACTAATTTCGCCATTTTTGAAATATTGATCTTTCAGACTATACACACATGGAGATTTAAGAAATAAAATTTCTCACTAGAAAATTATTTCTTCTATAGAAAGAACGAATATTTGAAGCTTTAATTCTCCTTTTAATAAAACAAAACAAAAAATGAATATATATAATAGTAACAAACATTATTAATAATATTTCGAGCAAACCTATAATAATGAATTATCTATTATCGTCGAAAAAAAATTTTTATATTTTCCTAATAGAAAAAAAAAATATTTATTTTATTCCAATTTTTCCTTCCAAATTAATTTAGCATTCAACTAATATCAATGCTTTTAGTATAGCATTAACTGTTACTGAAATTTACCTTAGCTGAAATTAAGCTCTGTAATTCTGCGAAGGGTAAACCACTGTATAATGTCGGTGCACAAGATTGAAGTATTAGGTAGGAATTAACGTGTGTTACTTTAATTGAGTATTACTTAATTAAAGTATTAAATTTCATTTATAAGTATAATACTCGCTGATTTCTTGATCAATGATTTATTCGCTAAACTGTTTACGTGTTTCGCAATTTAAATAATGGCACTAAATATATTTATGAAAAAATATATAAATTATTTGAAATTTCTGCTATTGTCAAATACAATATCACTGGCAATAACACGCGCGCCTATATTATTATATATACAGAGGTATATTATAATTACCTAAGGGGAAATAAATTTTTATTGTCAGCGATTTACTCTTGTAATTCTATATTTGATGAAATGCCTCTCGTCTAATTACGATCGTGTTGTCTGTGTTCCAGATCCAACAAGCTAAAGCCGTTTTGGCATAGCGTGAACGAGCCTATACCGGTTATGGAATATCTCTCCTCCGCCCTTCTGTCTTCCGAATATGAGTATGCACTCGCTCGCGCTCTCGCGATGCCGGAATGTCCTGTGGTGCCATTCTTCGGAGCCTTCCTGCGCGAGCTACGGGAAGTTATTGCATGCGAAACAAAGGTAAATTTTTACACGAAGAATACCTCGTGTTTTTCCCATTATTTATTTGACAACGTATATTTTAAAAGTAAAAAAAAGAACATATTTGCACGAGTAGATGTTCTACGTTGCCGTTAAATAAATCGACATCATTTAAATCTGTTCGCGTAAGCACATTGTTAAATTGCTACACATTAGAACGTCCGTATTTTTGCCTTTTTTAAACGCTGAATAATTTATCGAGTAATTGTGCCTGCTATCTCTCTACTACGAAGATTACATCAACGCAAGATGATTCGACAAACAAGATTTGTACACTCATCGAGCAGAAGATTAATTATTTCGATAGGATATGCAACCTAGCTTAATTTGTTTTTTTATCGGATTGTATCAAGCGTGTGAGATACGATATACGACAAAAAAAAAAGGATAATACTAAATGGAGGGAACTGTGATGGAACGCTTTCGCAGAAGAATTTTGGCAATCGACCAAAGCAATTCACTGATAAAATTCGATATCTTCTCGAGTGCATCACAAGCAAGACTGCAAAGCCGAGAAACTAGAGACGGTCAACGATACGGCAAATTTACTTCGTCCCGTCGCTACTATATATTATGTCAAAAGATAGCAAAAACTTTGTTGTGAATTCATCTGAAGAAAAGGAACTGATAAGGAATCAGGGCAAATAAGGAAATTTATGTCAACTTAAAAAGACCTGCACATCTAAGTTTACGAAATTTCAATTCGAAAAGACAGTCCCTTAAGATAAAATCGGCTTATAAAAGACATTCAATATTGTTTTATAAAGATTAAATACAATGTAAATTTTTAATAATTAACAATTTATTAATAAAGAAACACGCGCACATGATTTCACCGACAACGATCTATCAGAACTGATGCAAGAAAGCCTTAAATCATGGAGAAGTTTGCGCTTCAGGCAAGATTATTTCGAGCGCGATCGCCAAGAATCGCGCAAAGAAATTGTTCGACGAGCTTCTTACGAAGAATAGCACCAACGGAAGAGCAGGTTGCGCCATAAAAACGACAAGGAAAGGGGTTTCTATCGGCCTCCAGCAGCTACGATGGTTGTAGGCCGGCGGAAACTACTTGCTCTTGTCGCTAACGATCATCATCGGGGAACGGAATAGCGTCTTCCTCGCCTTTTATAGCGTCACGCTATTTGATGGCGAGAGCACATCGTGCTCCCGCAACGAAAATCACTGCTTCTAAGAGTAGCTCATGAAACTTAACTTGCGCGACGAGTCCACGAAGCCGCCGGTCGTTGAAAGTTAAAACCAAAGCACGTATTTGGCACCGCGAAATTGTAATTAAACTTTCCATTCACGTAGATTCCAACTGCGTGACAATATGCGAAGTTACAGTATAAAGCGTTTCTACAGAAAAATATATAAATAGTTATATGCGAAAATAATAAGTACATATTTATTTTTATAAAATTATTTTGTATAATGCTTTGCAAAATTCACAATATTTTTAAAAGTACGTACTCTTAAACATCGATTTTTCAACGCTTTTCTTAAAATCATATGATCTTTCAAATTTTGTATATTAAAAACGGTAAATGATAGAAAATCCGTCCTTGTTCAAAAATATTTTCGTAAAAATTTTTGAAATTAAAGTTCACCTTTAACGTGTAAAACTGTAATCAAACAAGACGAAATTAGCGCTATAATATGTTGTGTAATCCTACTCGTAGGTCAGTGTTTAGGAAAAATGCTTATTTATATTTTTTTCAAGATAAACGACATACGGATATTATACGGATGTATAATAAACGATAAAATTATATCCTAGAGGCGTCCGAGAAGAAATTTAATATTTATTGACAATACATAATATACACGGAATGCACAATTTCCAAGACACAAAGATGAACAGCTTGTAAAGCGATCATTCAAGCCTCGAGCATTTGCATTTTGCTACGCTGATCGTTAATTACATTTGATTAGACAAAGATCGACATTGTAGGAGTAAAGTAAACGATCTGCTTTGTCTTGAGATTATTCAAGATACGGTTTAAATGAATCTCGTTATTATTGTCCCTCCCTCCCCTCTTTCTACCTCTCTTTCTCTCTAGAAGATAATCTGTCAACCGAACATATCCTTGGCATGATATGCCCTGGCTCGCAGATAGAATTTCAAATCGACATCGGTGCAGTACTAATAAAATATATACCGTGCATCGCTCTGTTATCCCCCTTGTTATGTTGCTAGTGGCCCCCTTCATCGATCGTAAATGTATACCTCAGGGAAAGAACGCGGAAAAGGAGGACAGCGAAGTTAAGCAACTGACATAGTCATACTTCGATCATCCAGCATCACGTCCGCCACGGATAGCCTCAAGCTTTAAAACTTTAAAATAATTAGATATTATATACAATGTGTCTCAACATTACTATATTACCGTAATGTAGTATTTACATTATTACTTGTGAATAATGCCAAGAAAAATATTATGAACAAATGTACAAACAATGATAAATTGAACGTAGAAGATATCTTTATATGAAAAATTCAAATTAAAAATTTCATTAGATTAAATTATATTATTCTATTAATTTAAAAATTCTATTTTAGAAGGTTAATCAAGTTAGATGCACAGCAATTTGTCCTGCTTACGACACAAAATTGTGTCTGTTATAAAAGAGCATGGATTACTCTATATTAAGAGGTGATAAAACAACTTTTTTACAAATATTGTTATTTCGTATTATGAACATGTAACAACAGAAAGTTATGTCAATCGAAATTTTTAATTGGTCACATATTTTCAAAATCAATCAGTTTAAATCTAAAAATCTGGATCAGATACTAAATCTTTGAAAAGTAATCACAGCAACATAAAATACTCTTAAACATACAAAAAATATTATTTACACACAAGTTAAACTTTTTTTTGACAGATTAAGAAACAATATTTATCCGCCTTAAATATAAAATAAAGATAAATATAATGTAATATAAAAATATATTTTTTTTTTTTAAGTATTTCATTTTAAGACATAACTTCAAGTAATACTAAATTAATATTTTCCTTAAAGCAGATTCTTCGTAAATAAAATTTTTATGATACCAAATATTCTCCGATCCTTCAAACATTAATCTCCCCGCAATTTGATTGCCTCCTTTATTTGCCACGGGAGGCAGGTGGTTTTTCGATCAAAAGAAGTACCGGCTGTCATCTCATTTCCATGACACGATTCCTTTCCGAGAGCAATTCGAACAAGATGTATTTGGATTATCCTACTCTCAAGCATATCCCGGAGGGCTTGAGCATGTTTGCAATTTGGATCGCGCGACTTAGCGACGATGCTGTTCGACGGCGAATCGATCAACGGATAGCACGGCGCGATCAAGCAAAACAACATCACCTTCTGACGCGATATCGTGGAACAATATACCCAATATAATTAAGATTATTGGATAATAATTAATTATAAGTCGCATTAAGTTCTGCTATCAGCGTGCTTCGAATACACATTATAGAAGCCAACTTGCCAAACCAGTTTGTAAACAATTATTTGTACGCATTATTTGCATTAATTCGATTTAAAAATCTCATTGCTAAGAAGAATAAATGAAGGGATAACTTTAAAATGTTTACGAGTGTGCAGTTAATCGTGATATACGAGAGAAGAAAAGTGCCAAAAAAAAGAATGATTTTATTAATGTAATATTAAAAATTAATGTAGTATTAAAAATTTATCAGTTAATAATTAGAATTAATTAATTTTATTGCACCGTCTATGAAATGCGTGGTAGAGAAATTCTAAGAGGATAGAATATATATCAAAATTACAGAATACTAGAAATAAGACGAGCCATTATCAAGTTTCTCAGGTGCCACTCATAATTACAAGATCATCAAAGAATTTACACTTGCCAAAGAGACCTATATACGTTATCACTCATCGAGATCGAAAGAGCCGTCCAATGCTTTTGTTGATGAACACGCGAGATTTCGAGAGTGCATCTCCAGACGAAGCCCTAAACTATCGATTCTCGAAAGTCAAGCTTCCTTTGGATACACAAAGAAAGCTTTGTTACTCGGATTATCGAATCTGGCATCCTCGAAATGAACAATATCTCAAGCTCTTTCAAAGTATCGTTATCGTGTGAAACGGTATAACAACGTATACGTAGCGATAACAATCATAATTTAATATTCTTGCGAAATTCTGTAATTCTTATTACAAAACGTTACATCACATATACATATTAGATGTTTTTCGTAGTAATATATCATACATTTTTTTTTAATCCATTCTAACGTAATCTCATATAATATATTCATCTCACAGGCATATCGCGATAAACGACCTAATAAATCCGTGATCATTATCATATATTTCTCTCATTATTAATTTTCTATTTGTATGCATTTATATTACATCATGTGAATAATAATAAATTAAATTATAATAAACTATAAACTAAATTTAATTTTATGCGTTCGAAAGAAAAACATTGATACAAATTGAAAATATGTATATATTCAAATTCAATATTTTTTTCCCCAAAACTTAGCTAATATTTCCTTCTAAAAACACAAAATGTTTATTTTAATTTAACAGCGTTTCATATATATTTTTTTTATCAATGATCGCCGCACAACGCAAAATGCTCGATGCTTTTTTTTTATAATATAGATAAATTTTGCACGACAATTATTTACCCGAAACTTCTAATGACTTATCGTCCTGGCTCGTAATGTTTCAGCCCCAGTTCGAGTTTAGGGAAAATCGCGATTCGCCACGTGGTAGCATTAAGGAGAGCGAACCTCAAGAACACGTGCCTTTGTCTGCGCCGGCCGCCAGGATCGCCGTCGAGAGTAACACAGAGACGCCGTCAGGATGGAGTTCGAGGAGCGGAACCTTCAACAAACCGGAGAACCCCATAGTACACGACACAAATTCCGTTCTCGACAAAGTCGCCCTCTTTCACAAGGTAAGATGAATATTCCAACGACAAAGTATACATCATTTCATAAAGATTTCTAATAGACTATCCTAGTAAACAAACGACATTAGACCAATCGCCGGCTCTTTCTATATTTCACTCGCATAAATTGAAAAAGAGTAAATGCTCGAATAAACGAAATCTTGCTTCATCAAATATCATTACGTTAATGTAACGCTGGATTTCACTAATGCAAAAATTATTTTACCAATTTATTCAATTAATATGGATATTTATATGAAAGCGCAAAGAACATCCCTTGTTATCATTTGTTATAGCGATTTTTTTCGGTACACGTGTAATATATATTAAATTAAAATGTTTAATCTAACGAGGAATTAATTTCTTTTTTATGTAAGCATCGACATGCTCGTGGCAGAGACGCGACCACCGGTTCCCTCCATCGCACCCTGAGCGTCCACACGACCGCGATCGAGCAAACGTACATGGCGGAGGAATGCGACGAGAACGACTATCATCTTGATTTGGACTCCTACAAGCCCGTACAGCCGATCAAGATCGATCATGGAGTCTCTTTGTTTCCTGTTGCCGCGCCACACACCGGCATGGATCTTCATCTCTTGCAGGTATGTTCCCGCATTCTCTGCATCAAGCAATCTGCACCGATTTCATAACCGATATGTAGATATTATATATCATAAAGGAGTCCCTCATACGGTCTGCTTCGCGAACTACAATTGTATAAATGATACCTTCACCAGTTACTTATTTTTATTTTTTTCTACTATTTTTCTTACTTATTTTATTTTTTCTATTTTTATTTTTATCTATTTTTATTTTTATTTTTTCCTACTTTTTTTCTTACTTATTTTATCTTTTCTATTTTTATTTTTATTTATTTTTATTCCACGAATAGATACGAAATTTTACTGTGTAGGATGGCGAAAGGTAAACATTTTATAATCAAATAATTACTTCTCTTAAACTTGACCCAAATGATACCATGTCATCGATAACATGATTAATAGAGTATCCAAAAAAAAAATAGAAATAGTTTCGAGATTCAAATAATAATTAAAATATTATTGAAATTATAATTAAAATATTCAAATTATAATTAAAATTAAATAATAAGATTTATTATTACTTATACAAAGACAAAAAAAAATAGAATTTTTCTACTTAATTTATCCATATATTTATAAAATGTGCGGAAAATTACTGTGTTGCGATTTAATGAAATTTGATATATAATTCTTTTAATGCCTACAAAGATTCAACGCAATGTAGTTTCCGCTTTAAGATGACGCGCGACGTTCGTTCATGCTATGTCGTATCCAGACTACTCATTGAGAACGCGCGCGCACACACACACACACACACACACACGCATTGTCTGAGATCGTCGTTTTGGAACTGAGAGACATTGCGTTATACAACGAAACTGCCAATTCGTATACGTGACATCGCGATACTGCACGTGGAGTGCATCGCAAATATTGGACTCGCAGGATTTGTTGCACAATGCAACCCGATGTCGGCGACGCTTTTGATCCTGTCGCTCTGTTACGGTTGCGGTAGAATCGGATAATGACGTGCAGTAACATTGACGTGGTTTTCCGTGCGATCTATATCGTTTCGTAATATTTAACAATGTACCTCATTCGCCACGTAATTAGCAGATCATGCGTCACGCAAAAATCATCAAACGATAGAAGATTTAGTGTCGTTCGATTATGATATCCCAGTAAAGGATATTGTCACGCGTCATCATGAATTAGCATTGCGCGAAACAAGGTAGATTATCTTTTATGCAGAATAATCCTTTATGCAAATAACTCCTTAAACTGTAATTTCTTCCGGGAAATAATACAAAATCATTATATGTATATCTAACGTTTTGGAAAATATTGACGTCAGAGTCGAGAAATTCTCTCCATCTGAAATAAATAATATTGTTCTATTCTAACTCTTGGTAGTTTCGAGATAAATATGAATTTAATATAATATCGCGAAGAAAATTGCATATCCAAAAAGCAAAAATTCAAATACTATAAAGTGGAGAACAATATCATATTCAGAGAAAGAATCTTTTATATGTCAAACAGTTCCATTTACTTAAATAAAACATAACAGGTTATAATATTCTCTGCTATTGTAATCATAACCGATACAAATCCGGAAATAAACTTAACATTTTTACATATATATATATATATATATAAGCTACAACATCGCTTTTAGATAAAAATAAGAATCTATAAATTTTAAAAAATATAAAAAATTCAAAAAGATATCAAATTTAAAAAATATCTCATCAATTCTGAGCCTGATATTATGCGAGCAGAATATAAAAAATACAAATTTACAAATGATATGTATAAATTATAAATTCTGATCGTAAAGAATTATATAACTGGAAACGGTCGAAAAATATCATTCACATTTTCTTTTCATTTAAGTACACATGACGCTAGAGAGAAATTCCTACCGCTATTTCGCCACGAAATTCTAAACCGTTTTTGAAATTTAAATAAATACATCTACGCATCTTCTTCTTTTTTTTTTATATCAATAGCCGAGGATTTAACGATGCAACGATATGAGATCCTAAGATCATATAGTTTTCCGTTTAAGCTACGCGAATCACAAAAGAAAGTAAAGGCAAGATATTGACTTTTCATGCCACGTTTGCTGTTTCTTCTTGATACAGTATATATAATCGGAATAAGGGATAAATAATTTGTTTGTATAAGAGTGTGTTAAAATTATAACATATACAGATTATCGTTAAAGAACATCAATACACGTGAGAAACCGACACAGCCACAGCATAAAGATATCTTCTTACTCTTGTGAACCATTTTGAAATATGTATATTAATGTCACGGGTATGTTGCTTCTATGGCGCTGCGCTGCTGTGATAAGAGATACCGTCGGAATGTAGATTGTCGCACGTCAAAAGGATTTCAAAGGGACCAGCCTTACGCCCATACTCCTGGTATGCCTCGCGGAAATTAGAGAGAAAACAGAGGAATATGCGGGAGAAGGAGGAAACGAGGGAGCAAAAAGCAAACTGACGGGACCGATGAAAAAAAAAAAAAAAAAGTTGTAACGCAGCACGAAAAACCAGGTCATCCTTTTGAATCGTGCCACCAATTGTCAGCGTTAATTGAGTGGCAAGAGGAAAAAATGGGACATGACGTATTCGCGGAGAAAATGGTTTATAACGAATAAATTCGTTATCCTCCTATCATGAAATTTCAGGACAATCGATAATCCTGAGTTTCTCTCTGTTAAACTATTAAACAGTTTTATTTCGCTAGATACGTAACGTGTGATCCATTGATTACATCAGTGAGATATATAGCTATTATATTTAGGGAAAAAGATGCGCGCAATTTCGTCCGATCCGATCCCTCTACGAATAATGGTATCTCGTAAAGATAATTGATTTAGCACCAATAAGTGTCTGAGAAATGTAAACATATAGCTAGACGAGTAAGTACAATTACAGCCGCTTTATGTGATATACGTATACACAATAATCGTGATAATGTTAACAATAAATATTGCGACTCAGCCATAAACTAATCGCGATTATTTTCATCTATGGACTTTTTCATTTTGAATTTATGTCGATCTTTCTTTAACAAAAATTTGATTTAAATAATAAATACTCTTTTTATTTTTAGCATTATATAAATTTCGGCAATTCAATTTCAAAGTAAATTAATAAACTAAAGCATATATTCTTGAAATATTTAACCTTATCATTTTAAAAATTAGACAAATGACAAACTATGAAACACGATAAAATTTACATTCGAATCAGCATATTTTTAATAAATCATCATAAAAATATTTTGATATTTAAAAACATTTTGCAATGAAAAGATGTTTCAGCCAAACACGAAAAATCTAAAAAAGGATTGATGTGATTACGAAAATAAAAATAAACAAAGATTGTGCATTAATATTACGATATAAATTAAATAAATAAATTGATAAAATATATACTTTTTTCCTTTATTCACATCGATACCTATAAAAAATTAAAATTCGTTGAAAATGTGGTATGACTATTGAGTTTCGGTAAACATATAAATAAAACATTAGATAGAACATATAAATTCTGTTTTTGCGACAAAGAAAATACGATAATTGTACGTAAAATACATTTTGCCATGTAACATTAAACTCGTCAAAATTTAAATATCTGATACTAATCTATTATATTAATATTTTTTGTTCAACGATATCTAAAGCGCAGTATTCATTGCGTATTACATATCGGGGTATATTGTGAATTCAAACAATTGTCTATCAACAAAATTATCGACAAATATACGATTTCGTGTATACGCTGCAAGCGTATATGCGTGCAATAAATATCTGCATTGCAAAAAAAAAAAAAAAAAAAAAAAAAAAAAAGAGAGAGAAAGAAGAGGGAAGAGAAGCGACCGCATAAACGCCGTTATAAATGCATTACAAGTCCCATTAGTGTTATAAATGCATTCACAACGTCTCTAGTATATATTTTGTTGAGGCAAGAGCTCGGAGTAACGCAATTGCGAAAACGACCTCGTAGTAGCGAAATGTCTTGCACGCTGAAATTAATATATTTATATTTTCCGCATATGCCCTATTTTTGAAAATAATATCATTACAACAGTGAAATCTAATTGTATAAAGACCGGTGGAACAACGGTTTCGAGCGAAATCACAAATCAACATTATAAATATATATTTTTAAATCTATATTTCATGAAAAATATTTCTATCGATAAACGATAAAAGCACTATTTTCCCTTCTCTTTACACAAGTTTATATATTTCACATGAAAAAATATTTCTACCAATGAACGATAAAAACACTATATTTTCTCTTCTCTTTATACAAGTTTTAAAAAAAAAGTTTGTTTTCTTGAACTACGTTATTTAAAAATCTGTGACGTACAAAATATATTGCAGCGATCAAATATCAAAACAGCGATATCTATATATTAGATTTATATTTTCTATACCCATATTTATATTTTTTATATATAGTTTTATATGAAATCTTTCCCCATTTCAGATGCTACACCACGGCACGACTTTAGTGCACTGGGACTGCGAGGGTGGTACTTCGAGAACGGCGTTGGTTTTCGCACGCGTCGATCGCGCCTGCGGCACCTTCGTCTGGGAGAAACCACCCTGGAGCCCCTTGAAAACGGCGCAAGTCGGCGGTACCGCTCTCACAGAATTTTCATTGACCTCGAACCCGGAGGACACGGTACCGGCGGGCCTAGTCAGCAGGTACGCGCAGCAGCCAGCTGATTGCGCCTCTGTCACTCTAGAAGAGGGATATCTCGATCTGGGATCGGTGAAGGAGGTAATGATCGGCTGCTGCGATCGCGACCGAGAGGCTGATCTCAGGAGCATCTGCAAGAGATACGGCCTACCGGGCTCCGACTCCTGTATCGGCCTCATGTATGGATCGAATCTTCCGGACAATCGACTGATCTTCCTACTTTGCCCCCCTGCCCTTAGCAAGTATGTATAAATTTCTAAAATAGAATACGAGAGGTATAAACGATTTTAGTGTTCTATTGTTTTATTTTAATATAGACAAAAAAAAAGACAATTAAAAATTTGTTGCATTTTATTTCACAAGCAATCTGATTTGAAGTATATCTTTTTTAAATAATTTTAATCTTTCGAGTGGCAAAAATCCCCCCCCCCCCCTCAAGTACATGTTCGAATTTGCCAATGTTTTCTTTTATATATGCTATAAACTTGAAACTTTTTCGCATGAAAATTCACCACGCCCAAATCGATTAATCTACAATTAATGTATCCCCAAAGCGATGAATACATTAATGATATATTAATGACATCATTAATGATACGTTAATGGTATCGCGTGCGAACGAGAAATTGTATATTAATAATAACAAGTTTACATCATATACATTTCGTGTAACTTTACCCATTCTCTCAAATAATTTATGAATTGTTGTTGAATTTTATATATATATATATAGTTGTATTGCATAAATTATGTGTAATCCGTATATACATGATTTCAGAATATGGTATATGGGATTATGCTGGATACTGCGAGGCCTCAAACGACAACAGCAATTAACAGATCGTAGATCACGCTGGTTGAAAGAAAAATATCTCCAATTATACTTTTCCTACTTCGAACAGCCGATGGAAGGCTTGGAACAGCCGACGACAGCCGACGCTATACGCGTTTTCGGCGGTCGCGACTGGTCCATGACAGAAAGTGTTGGTACACTATCTCCAACGAGCAGCAGCACTCTACGTAGACGAAACGTTAAAGGCAAAAAGACGAAATCGATTGGCAATATTCATGCTTTAACCAAGGTTTGTATCGATTTATTTTGCATTTCATGTACGAAATCAATAATTCTTGTGCGAAGATATTCGTACTTTATTTTCGCGTATATACACGTATAACCGTATTTTCACCGAATTAAACAATTTTGGCTTGATACAGGATTTGAGTTTTAAACAATATGATATATCCTCGACCTCGGATGGAGGTGTATTGACTACACCTCTTCGTCACATTGCGGGGAGTAGAGAATCCCTAACAAGGATCTTACCAGCGTCACCAAGAGCTAGTCGAGACAGAATTCCACCGCGTAGCCCGCCCGGTTCCGCTGATCGTATCGTCGCTTCCTTGCCTTACTCCACTTTCCACAAGTACGTTGTTTTTTACATATATTCATGTCATTTACTAAATTTTTTTTTATTTGTCGATTGTTATTTTTCGAGCAAAAAAATTTTATAGTCCAGAATATACAAAATAAAACTTGTTCAGGCCAGAAATGTAAAAAAACACATGTGAATAACGCGCGCGTAGTCTGTTATGTGTTGCCAGAGAAAAGGACAAGAACGGATCCGGTGGTATACCTGGTGGCTCAGAGGCTCCTTGGCAGGTGAAAGCGCGCACCACTTCGATCATGTACGAAACGCAATTAAACTTTGTGGAGTTCGTCGCGCTTTTCCGATCGTTCAGCTTACGAGCTAGGAAAGATTTGCGAGATTTATTCGGCCAATTAGCGATCACGTGTCGTAGTCAAAGTGACGGATCTTTAAGGGACTTTAGCATGCGTCCAGCGGTACTCAGGCAGGCCAGCGACGCCACTCCGCAAAGAATCGGTAAGCCCAGATCAAAATTTAATTAATATATAATTTCAGTGAAATTAAATTTTAGTATAAACACATACAAAGATGATCCTTATGCTCGTACAACGGAATCGTTACAACGGAAATACGATAATCAATCTTGTAAATATATGAATTAACTTATTAAATAATAATTTCAAATAAATTGGATATAATCTTTTTTTCAAAATTTTACTATAGTACTATAATGTAGATTAATTTATATATAAAAACTACTTTTCGAAAAACGGAATTCTATATCGCTTTTAACTTCAGTATAAAAATGATTTTTAAATATTTATTATTTATTGATATTAAATAAATCATTATTTAAACATGCCAGGTTTGCTGACAAGAAACAACTCTATTGACTGTCATGAATATAAGACGAGCAGCAATCTGCAAAAGAAGCAGATCTTTGATGCAGTCGCGGCGGCAAGCATAGTTAATAATTGCTCCGGCGTGGACACATCGAAATCTCAAGTAATTACTCTGGCGACCTTTACGAAATTCCTTGAGTCTCGGCAACAGGAAAAATTGAGCGACGAGGAAATCAAGACGCTCATTAAGGTAAATATTTACTGGATATAAAGATTTCCCCATTAAAAAAAAAAAGTATTCAACAATTTTATTCTTCGACATCTCTCTTCGCAGAAATTAATATCCGAAAAATATGCGAAAAATATGCGAAATTAATATCCTGATATTGCATAGTAGATGAACACGTGTCTGTATCCAATTTCGCGAAAAAAACTGTTTTTGTTATGTATTTTGTAACTTTCGCGCTGAAATAGCGCTGCGCCATTGCGTGACGTTTTCGAAAGTCAGAAAAGTTGAAACGTACATGACCTTCTCTATCTGTCCCGAGACTCCGAACCGTTAATACGATCTCTCTTTGCATCAAGTATTATTATATTATAGTTAAGAAGAATATATATATAAGAACCACAAGGACATAACAAACTGGCGACGAGGATGGGATGTCAGTGAATCGATTGGATTTTTGAGTGTAAAGTAAGGTTACGACAAAGGAGGCCAATCCACGTGTTCAGCCACATTTATAAAGTTTGAACTTTTGATAAAAATGCCAACGGGCGGCACAGGCTCTCAAGGAGGGAGTTCCGTGGAGTCAAATTTAAGATCCAAGTGTGGCTAAGATACAAAATGTAATGCAAATCGAAAATTTTGACCCGACCACGCAGACTTGGAAACGTTGGCTTCAACGTCTAGAGGGTTCGTTCAAAGTTTTTAAAATAACGGCCGAAGAGGAAAAAGTGGCTTACTTGCTGCACTACATTGGAGTAGAAGCGTTTGGATTATTGTGCGATCGTTTAGATCCGGACGATCCGTACACTAAATCATTCGAGGATTTATGCAGAAAATTGGAAGAATTCTATGCGCCAGAACCTTTAGAAATTGCGGAAATGTTCACTTTTCGCAAACGTATGCAAAAGGACGGAGAGTCGGCGCAGGAATATATGGCCGCGTTTCAAAAACTTTCGCTGCACTGCAAATTTGGAAACAACTTAAAAACGGAACTTCGAAATCAATTTGTTTTTGGAATTAAATTCCCGCGGATTCAAGCTAGACTGTTGGAAACAGTTGATTTGACGATGGATTCAGCCCTCAAAATTGCCTGCTCCATGGAAAAAGAAGATCAAGGGATTCATCAGCTGAGAGAAGATCAAGGGACAGGACCTTCAATGGCAGTCGATTTCATTGGAGCTGGAGTTGAGAGTAAAAAGTGGAGCGAAAAGGAATGTAAGAAAGCAGGGCAGCCCATCTCGAAACCGGAAGGGGAGAAGACGTGGTCGTCGAAAGACTCTGGAAGCGTTAGGCATAATAGAAACGGTGCTAAATTAGATAAAATTGTATGTTACACGTGTGGTAAAAATCACTTGGCGCCCTCCTGTTCTCTTCCTCGGAGTACAAAGTGCTTAAAATGTGACGGTCTGGGCCATTTGAGAAAAGTTTGTAAGAAGAAAGCACAAACAAATTACATTGAGGATATCGCTGCAGTAGAAAAGGAAAGCAGGATTCAAAGTATCGATCAAAGTACACGGTCTCTCTCTACGTAGAACAGAAAAAGGTATCGTTTGATATAGATTGCGGAGCTGCGGTGACTTTAGTAAGTCATTGTTGGTTAAAATCAAAGATGCCTAAGTTAGAAATCTATGAAACAGATTTAAAACCACGGTCGTATTGTAAAAAAAAAAGCTTTGTGCCTATAGGTTTTGTAAAAGTAAAAGTTAACGATATAAATTCAGTTAAGTATTTGAATATGTATGTAGCGAAATATGATGGAATTATTCACAAAAGAATGGCTCCTTATCATTCAGCATCCAATGGGCTGGCGGAAAGATTCGTGCAAACACTCAAGCAATCACTTCGTAAAATTAAATTAACAAAAGATAATGTAAAAGTAAATGTACAAAAATTTTTGTTTCATTACCGCATCACCCCAATTCCAGAGCTTAAGAAATCACCAGCCGAAATTATGTTTGGGCGAAAATTACGTAATCGACTGGATTTAATTTTGCCAAAGGAACTTGCGTTCAAAGTAGAGTCGATGAAATGCAATAATGAAACAAGAAATTTTCAAGTTGGGGCTAAAATAGCCGCACGGGAATACTTAAATAAAAAGATTAATTGGCGTTTTGGTATCGTTTTTAGAAAATTAGGGAAGCTACACTACTTAGTAAAACTAGAAAATGGCAAAATGTGGAAACGACATGTAGACCAATTATGCATAATCGGGCAAGATGTTCAAGATGTTAAGTCGAAATTAGATTTAGATGTATTCGATGGTATCCATCCAAATCAAAACGTAACAAAAAATATTAGGGGTGGAGAGAGACCGGTAATAAATGTAACAAACAAAGATTGCGTAAATGACGCTGCCAATGCTCCAGCCGAGGAAGAGACGGAGGAAGATGCGCACACACAGATAACTGTAGGTAATAAAAAAGAAATGCGTACGAGCGAGCAAAATGAGACGGAGGAGAATGCGCAAGAACAGATAACTGTAGCTGTGGCGTTTTCGAGAGTCAGAAAAGCGCAAACGTACATGACTCTCTCTCTCTGTCCCGAGACTCCGAACCGTTAAGTGTGATATACGATCTCTTTTTGCATTAAGTATTATTATATTATAGTTAAGAAGAATATATATATAAAGGTTCATCTGGCATAATTATTTCCTATTATCGAACCACAAGAACGTAATAGTTTTTATTAAAGACTTTCCTTTCATTTTCACGAATAGTTATAACGGATTCTCTGATTTCGAAACACTCTTGATCTCAATTTGCTTTGTTCGATAGATAGAAGATGTCAATTTCGCTTACACGACCGCCATCGCATTGCAATACGCCCGCTCATGCGACCTAATACAATCAAGTCTATTTGTTCTCATTTCAGAGGCACGAACCGGACCCGGCACTTCGCACACAATGGTGTTTGTCTTTCGAGGGTTTTGCGCGATATATGATGGACAAGGACAATTACGCCTTTCCGTATGAGCACGCGACACCGTCCGAAACCGAGATGCAGCAGCCCCTGTCGCAGTATTACATCGCCAGCTCCCACAACACTTATTTGACCGGGCATCAACTCAAAGGAGAATCCTCCGTGCAATTGTATTCACAGGTGAATTGTTATTTTCAAAATATTCATTTCATTTAATAATGAATAAATTTTGTAGAATTAGAAAGAAAACGCATAAAATATTATTGCTCTGATATTATAGCTTATTTTCATTGCAAATCGTTATCAATTCAAGAATCGATAACAAATAGCATCTTCAGCATTTCAAATTCTGCGAGTATAGAAGAAAGATTTGTTTAAGAATTGTGAAAAATTATATTAATTTAGAAAATGTGAATTTTTTCTGTCCCGCAAAATAATTAATTTTTATTAAAACAAATTATAATTTGCAGAAACGAAATTAATGACTAATAACAATAAACATCTATATAGGTGCTCTTAACCGGATGTCGCTGCGTGGAGCTCGATTGTTGGGACGGTGACGATGGATCCCCGCTGATTTATCACGGTCACACATTCACTACAAAAATACCATTTCGATCGGTCGTGGAAGCGATCAATCGAAGCGCCTTCATCAGTTCCCCTTATCCCGTGATCCTTTCCATCGAGAACCATTGTTCGCCAAGTCAACAAGCTCGCATGGCTCAGATATTTCAGGTACATCTTTTAATTGCTCGATAAATTATTTCCTATTGATTATCGTTGTAAGCGCGATCAAATTTTAATCAAGAAATATGTCGTTTCAGTCTGTTTTTGGCGAGAAATTGGTGACAAAATTTCTCTTCGAATCCGACTTCGGTGATGATCCGCAATTGCCTTCACCTTCGCAGCTTCGTTATCGAATTTTAATAAAAAATAAGAAACTGGTGGTCGATCCTACCGGACCATTGTCGCATACGCCTCTCAGTCATCGCGGAAAGATGCTCATGTCGGATCGTGCATCTTCTATGAAGCAAATGCGAACTGATGTGAGCAGCACGTCGGTTGTCGAGTATTTTAGCGAAGACGAGGATGATGAAGAGGACGATGATGAGGACGATAATATCGATGGTAAAAAATAATAAACGATATATATTATCAATAATAAAATATGCTTGGAAAAATTTAACGACATCGAGTGAACCTATATTTCCTCAAGGATATCGGAGAATTTAATTCGTTCTGTTAATCTCTTAATCCCTCTCCTAGGTTTTAATCTAAATTTTCTCTACAATATGTGCTACTCTATCCTACTTAAATGTTTATCCTCGAGCTCGCATCACAAAATTTATTGGGTTTCCCCCAATTGCGTTCAAGAATTATAGCAATTATTGCAATTATAAAAAATTTATCGCGATTCGTTCGATGTGTAATTCACAGATAACTCGATCTCGAGCTACGAGAGGTATCTAGGCAGCCAAGTACCGCACAGTCGTTTAAAATCGGATCCAGCGGTGGATGACAAATCGCAAAAACAGAGCAGTCAGATAGCCAAGGAGTTGTCGGATCTGGTGATTTATCTGCAGGCGATTAAATTTCGTGGATTGAACACCGTGCCTGGGACAGCGGTGCCGGGAAAAATACGACATCAGTCGCATACGGGGCCGGTTCAGAGGCACAGTATCGCCGGTATAGGACCCAGCAGTATAGCATCCTCTTCAGGATCGCCGCAATCTCTCTCGACGTCCGCCTCGATCGCGAGCGGTGGTAGCAACATCGAGAATATCTTCAGGTTAGTTTCTTATATATGTCAAAAATATCTCTTATATATTTTCAAATTTTTTATATACTCTTCATAGAATTTTCCTTGTTAATATGTGGATAAATTTTATTCTACTTATTTTTAGCATTTCTTAAAACGCTTTCTCTTTTCAATTTTACATCAAGGATTTTTCATTATGTAATTTTTATTTATTTTTTTTTTTTTTTAATTTAATCAGAATATATTGTTCTTGCATATATTATTTTATGTTTCCATTATTTTACAAATCATATTTCGGCAATATATTATATTGTTCAATAAGAATACTGATCTCGTAGATACAAAAGATATAAAATACATTTTTTATTGTCGTATTATTAGATCCACTCGCGGAATGCCAGCCTGCTTCCAATGTTCGTCCTTGAACGAAAGCACGGCGAAGAAGATTTGTAGGAAGCAACCATTAGGCGTAGTCGCCCACGCAGAAACTCAATTGATCCGAACGTATCCTGCAGGAATTCGTATCGATTCCACGAATTTCAATCCTGTAATATTCTGGGCTTTCGGAATTCAGATGGTCGCGTTGAACTATCAAACCGATGACGCGGGATTGAATCTGAATGCAGCCATGTTTGAGCAAAATGGTCAATGTGGATATGTTAGAAAACCCTCGGTTATGTGGGACAAAGGACACATGATGTACAGGTAAATTCATATCACAATCTGACCTATATCATTTACAATAAAGATCAGTTTTGATAATTACCTGCAAATTTATTAACGATTACAATGTATTATAATTTTATATGCTTACTTATAAATAAAAAAAATCACATCAAATTATAATCTAAATTAAAAATAATCAAAAAATAAATCATTCTTGCTGATTAATTTTTCAATTATCGATTAACGATTCCCATTATTACTTTAAATAAATATAAATTCCTTAAAATCAAAAGGAGAATAGATGTAAAATCTAAAATATTCTACATATAAATTATAATCTAATAATTTTATATCTTTAAATTTGTTGAAATATATAAGACATTTAACAATTTTAGAATTATAGAATTTACTACTTTATTTTTTACGTTATTCAAAAATTGCTTTAATATTTAAGAATGAGAGACGCGCACGTATTTTTTCGTGTTTTTACTGTAGTACGCGTATTGTAAAAGATCGATCAATTTGTGCATTATAAATATAGCAGCTTTTATATATAAAGTAGGTTATTCTGAATGCGTATCGATTCCACGAATTTCAATCCTGTAATATTCTGGGCTTTCGGAATTCAGATGGTCGCGTTGAACTATCAAACCGATGACGCGGGATTGAATCTGAATGCAGCCATGTTTGAGCAAAATGGTCAATGTGGATATGTTAGAAAACCCTCGGTTATGTGGGACAAAGGACACATGATGTACAGGTAAATTCATATCACAATCTGACCTATATCATTTACAATAAAGATCAGTTTTGATAATTACCTGCAAATTTATTAACGATTACAATGTATTATAATTTTATATGCTTACTTATAAATAAAAAAAATCACATCAAATTATAATCTAAATTAAAAATAATCAAAAAATAAATCATTCTTGCTGATTAATTTTTCAATTATCGATTAACGATTCCCATTATTACTTTAAATAAATATAAATTCCTTAAAATCAAAAGGAGAATAGATGTAAAATCTAAAATATTCTACATATAAATTATAATCTAATAATTTTATATCTTTAAATTTGTTGAAATATATAAGACATTTAACAATTTTAGAATTATAGAATTTACTACTTTATTTTTTACGTTATTCAAAAATTGCTTTAATATTTAAGAATGAGAGACGCGCACGTATTTTTTCGTGTTTTTACTGTAGTACGCGTATTGTAAAAGATCGATCAATTTGTGCATTATAAATATAGCAGCTTTTATATATAAAGTAGGTTATTCTAATAAATTTTATTTTAATATATATTATAAAAATTGATCTTTATTATAAGAAAAAATATCTTTATATAAAAAAGACTTAAATAGTCGAATAGAATTATTTCCGGTCAATTATGTGTGTGTCTAGCCGTTATGTCTACAAATTTTCTGTAACAATTGCAAACGTCTTGACAGACGGTTCAATCCTTGGGACAAGGAGTTCGATGGTCTGCACTCTGCGCACTTGAGTCTGTCAATAATCTCGGGACAATACGTCTCACCTATGAACCTCGTCACCAGCACGTACGTCGAGATCGAGTTGGTTGGTATACCGATCGATTGCGCGAAGCACAAGACAAAGGTCATTCAGAACAATGCACTGAATCCCATCTGGAATGAGAAGTTCTGCTTCCAAGTAATGTTCAAGGACCTCGCGTTTCTACGTTTCGGTGTCGTCGAGGCCAGTTCCCATCACCTGATCGCGCAACGCGTATTACCGCTCAAGTGTTTACGACCAGGCTATCGACACGTACGATTACGATCTTGCAAGAACAAGCCGCTGGCCCTGTCTACGCTTTTCATCTATTCCCGGTTGGAGGAGGAGAGCTTGGACTATAACACATGCTGCCGCGATCACAAGGAGTCGTCTAAGCGTCTCTCATCGGGAAAAGAACCCGAAAAACTAAGCACGGTCGATCCCGGCCTAGGTGGTGTCACCCTGAAGAGACGGATGTTCTTTTTGATGGTTTACCATGTGATACCGGATGAGCCGTACACTATTCTGAAGGTGACTCAGGAGAGTACCACGCAAGAAGTGATGTTGCAGGCGTTACAGAAAGCCGGGATATCACCCGAACATGTAGACGAATACATCTTAGTGGAGGAAGTATCTCGCGGATGGGAGAAAAGAGAAAGAGAGGAATTGCCGACTCAACGCGTATTGGATCCTACCGAACATCCTCTTCAGGCACAGGCCCTGTGGAAGGGTCAAGGTCGCTTCCTCCTGAAGCGAGTGGGCGACGATCCGAGCAGCAGAGCCTGGCTCGCCTCCATCAGAAGCACGGCCGGCCATTCGAAGCTCAACGATTCCAACTCGAGGGACCAATCCACTCACATATGGGACGAGGCGGACACCTTCCTGGTCTGTATCTACAACGTCTCGCCAGAGATCCCTTATGCGATTCTACGTGTGCCGGTGAGCAGCTCGGCGCAGGATGTATTGGCGCAAGCTCTGATAAAGGCTAGGAGAATGGAGAACCCGTCCAAGTTCGCCCTGGTCGAGGAGCTAGAATGGGGCGGCGCCGGTGCCGTCGGAAGCGGAAATCGTCAGCTGAGAGTGTTGAACGACGACGAGAATGTTTACAGCACGCAAGCGTTCTGGAAGACCCTCGGCAGATTCATCCTCAGGGAAAGAGTGGTCGAGGAGGGCGGCGCCGGTGCCGTCGGAAGCGGAAATCGTCAGCTGAGAGTGTTGAACGACGACGAGAATGTTTACAGCACGCAAGGCACGCAAGCGACCCTCGGCAGATTCATCCTCAGGGAAAGA